AAAGAAGCTAGGAAATCCCCATTTAAACACTGAACTGGAAATCCTATTTATGCTTCTGTTGGGTCTTGATATTGGAGGTCAAAATTTTTGTTTAGTTCTAGTCTTTTTATGAAAGCTTGAAATCCTGTTTCATAGAATGAACATTTTTTCCCTTGATATATTATGCTTAATTTTGTTGGGTAAGCGATTCTTGTTTGCAGTTTTAGCTCTTTTGCCTTCTGTGATATCATGTTCCATGACCTCTGATACTTTAATGTTGCAGCTGCCCAGTCCTGTGTAATCCTGATTGTGATTCCCCGATATTTGAGTTATTCCTTTTTGGCTACTTGTATTTTTTCCTTGACCTGTTCTTTCTAAAATTTGGCTATAATATTCCTTGGAATTTTTATTTTGGGATGTCTTTCCCTATGTGATCAGTGGATTCTTTCAATGTCTATTTTGTCCTCTGGTTCCAGGACAACAGAGCAGTTTTCCTTGATAATTTCTTGAAAGATTCTGCCTACGTCCTCATTTTGATTATGGCTTTCAGGTAGTCCAATGATTCTGACATTGTCTCTTCTGCATCTATTTTCCAGGTCAGTTGTTTTTCCCATGATGTTTTTTTTTCCTTATCTTCCATTCCTACTATTAAAATAGATGATTTCAGTTGTTTTTCAGTTGGTGATGATCATAAAAGCGATTGAATGTGAAAATCTAAACTGCTTATTGAACATATCATGAGATTCTTTTACAAACCAGGGATATCCATTTTGAATAAAATCTCACCCAACATTTCTTTCTATCCCCCAGTCCTAACCTCCATCCCATGAACTGATGCTGAAGTGAGCAGAATCAGGAGAATACTGTATATAGTAACAGCAACATTATGCGATGACCAACTTTGATAGACTTAGCTCTTCTCAGAAATACAATGATCTAAGACAACTCCAAAAGACTCAAGATGGAAAATGCTATCCACATCCAGAGAAATAACTATGGAGTCTGAATGCACATTGAAGCACACTATTTTCTCTTTTTTTTTATTTCTTGTGGTTTTTCCCTTCTGTTCTGATTCTTCTTTTACAACATGACTAATGTGGAAATATATTTAATATGATTATACATGTACAGTCTATATCAGATTGCATGCTGTCTTGGGGAGAGTGAAGAGGAGGGAGGGAGAAAAAAATTTGGAACTCAAAATCTTATAAAAGTGAAAGTTGAAAACTAAAAAGAAATAAAAATTTAAAAGTTAATAAATAAATAAATAAATAAATAAATAAATGCTTGTTGATTGCTTGATTGATTATTGAGTCCCCTAATTGTTTGTTCTCTCACCTCCTCAAATTATATCATGTTTGTTTATCTGTGTAAGTGTTGTATGTCTGCCACCTCTCACCTAGTGCAGGACAGTTACTGTTATTATTTGTCTTTATACGCCCAGCACAGTGCCAGGAAATAGTAGGTGCTGAATAAATGCATGTTAAAATAAACCAAATATAGTTTATACCACTTTTTCCATCTAGATTTTCAATGGAAATATACTTTAGCCTATTCACAACTACCATACAACTTGTCACTGACCTTTGGGTGACCTGAAATTCTGATTCTTTAGAGACTGTGGTGTTCAGGTGACCTGGGCAGCAGGAGAGGCAGAGGCTCTAAGAAGCAATTTTGACTCTTGATTTAGCTTTTGGGACTCTTGGTTTAAAGACAGCGGTAGCAAAGTGAAAAGAGCATTGGACTTCACTGTCAGAATACCTATGTGCAAGTACCAACTCTTTTACTTACTACCTATGTAATCTTGGTCAAGGCAGTTTTCCTGGACCTCAGTTTCCTCATCCATGAAATGGGTCAATTCATGTCTACACAGCTGACCTCGCAGGTATTAAAAAAAAAAAAGCTTTCAAAAGTTTACTGTAATTCTTATTTTCTTGGCACCCTGCGTGGTTACTGATTGATTCACCAGAAAAACACCAGGTGGCAGGCAGGAGCTGAGTTAAACTTGGAAAGCATCCACAGGAAGACTGCAGTGACAGGATTTGGGATACTGCAGTTGGCCACCATTCAGAGAGAAGGCTGGACTAGCCCCATAGCTTCCACCACATCTTTCATTCAGCCTTCCTCTGCTATGATCTCCCCTATAACTGAGATCTCCCACTACCACTATACTCTGAACACTTCCAGGATAATACAACAATGTATCCAGGTTGGAGCTCAATTAAATAAATTGGGGTGAAGAGAGGCCCTGACTCTGATTTAAGTAGTGTAAGAAACTCCCTTTGAGGAAACTTCATGCATCAATGCAAGTCTGCACCTATTTTGCAATTTATAATTTTAGAAAGTTGCCTCAGGCACTGAGAGGTTTTGTGACCCAGTCACACACCAGTATGTGGCAAAGAAAGGACTCACACTCAGGTGTTCCTAAATCTGAGGTCAGCTCTAACCATTATACCATGTTGCCTTTCAATAAATGTGTGCTTCCATACTTCAATGATGCATGATTTCACCAACAGAGGAAAATGAATTTCAGAGAGACACGAAATGATCAATTCTTGATTCTTTCCTACCAAAATAAAAATAAATTTGTTCTTTGTATAGCACTTGAAGTTTTACAGAACACTTTATCTAGACCATCTCATCTGATCCTAGCAACAACCCTGATATTTTCATCTTTCGGGTGAAGGAACTGAGCTCAGAGAGGTTGCATTGCTTGCCTAGGGTCACACAGTTATTAAGTACCTGAAAGAAGATTCAAAACTAGGTCTTCCAGACTCAGTTCAACACTCCATGCACCACCCTAGGATTCTTGTTCAGATATCAATTGGACTAGATCAGTCATTCCCAACTGTAGGCCCTCCTTTGAAGGGGAAGTGGGGCTCAGAGTTTTTTTTGTTTGTTTGGTGAGGCAATTGAGGTTAAGTGACTTGCTCAGGGTCACACAGCTAGTAAGTGTCATGTGTCTGAAGCTGGATTTGAACTCAGCCCCTCCTGAATCCAAGGCCAGAGCTTTATCCACTGTGCCACCTAGCTGCCCCTAGGGCTCAGAGTTTTTGCACGGGTTCCAGAACTCCATATGCCCACCAACCATTGTCCTTTTTATTTTTATTTGGCTCCAGTGAAATATGTAGCATGATTCAATACAATAAGCAAGCATACCCTCTGCAGATTGAATAAACTATCTTACACACATATTTTCTGTTTTTAATTGAATTTAGATGATGTGATTAAGAAAACACAAATTTATTTACAATGCTTCTGAATTCATACTAACTTTTTGTCATGTATTTTCTCAATGGATATTAATGGTACTACTAAGTGGGGGGGGAGATTTACAATTTAAACATTTTTTTTTGTTGTTGTTTTAAAAGAGATCCTCATATTCTAAAAGACCGGGAACCTTTGGGCTAGTTGACCTCTGAGGACTTTCCCAGCTCTGAGATTCTGAAGCTCTGTTAGTCGGTGTGGACGGATGGGGGAGGTTGCTCGGAGAGTGCTGAAGGATAGAATACAGGGAAAGAGGTAAGGGGGAAATATCCTTGAAGGCATTGAGAAAGCGATTGGTGACCTCTCTGCCATTTTCTATCGTAATTCTACCTTTTTTTCTCTCCTTTTTCCTGCTTTCTCCCAGAAAGTAATGGAATAGATCATCTTTTATGATTTACAAAGCACTTACCTCACGATGGCTCTGTGCAGTATCCTTAACCCCATTTTATAGAAAGAGGAAACTGTTGCCCAAGGTTATACAGCTGCAAATGGCAGGGCCAAGAGTCTAATCTACATCCTCGGCCTTGTAGTCCAAAGACTTTTCTGCTTAGTACCTGCCTGGCACGCAGTTCAATCAAATTAAACTTTTACTAAGTCATGTAAATAATACAATAACTATTGAATGCAAGGCTGTATGCCTGGAAGTGTGAGTATATAAAGTAATCGCCCCTGCCCTCAAGGAGCTTACGTCCTTGATCCCGGTGGAACATTGTGAGTGTCGAAAGAATGAATGGAAATTGGGTGGTTCTAGAGTGGGAAATGCGGGCGGCTAGGTAGCAGATAGAGTGGATAGAGAGCCCAGCCTGGAGTCAGGAAGGCTCATCTTCCTGGGTCATTTACTAGCTATGTGATCCCGGGGAAATCACTTAACCCCGTTTGCCTCAGTTTGCTCATCAGTAAAATGAACAGCTGAAGAAGGAAATGCAAACCACTCCAGTATCTTTGCCAAGCAAACCCCAAATGGGGTCACGAGGAGTCGGACACGACTGAAAAAGTGGGAAACTGAGCTAACGTGTTTGGTTAGAGAAAGTGGAATTGAGGGTCAGCGCATAGAAATCTTTGCTCTGGACTAAAGAAGCGACAAGTCTACGAAGAGGAGGAAGAGAAAAACAGAGACACAGAAAGACGTAGTGAATTGAGTCCAAGCAAACAAGAAGAAAGCGAGAAAAAGAAGTTGAGACAAAGAAGACTGAGATAGAGAGGAAAAGCAAAGAGGTTACAAAAGCAGAAAAAAAGGCGGGGGGGGGGGGGAAGAGAAGACAGATGCAGGAGATTAGAGAGAGAAAAATAGAGGGAAGAAAAGACTGGGAGAGTACTTTAAGTAGACAAGATACGGGTCCGGAGAAGTGGAAAAAGGAAGAGAGCTAGGAAAAAGCCGAAGAGAAATGAGAAGAGACCCTTCATAATCCCAGTTTTGACACCCCACCCCAGTGTCTCCAGTTGTCTCCAGGTTGTGAAATTCTCCAAACCAAATGCTTTTAATACACTTCAATTTTTTTTCTTTAAATAAACACGTGCTCAGTTGGGGAAACGCAAGTTCAAACAAACCACTCTGCGCATGGGAAAGTCCCAGGACCGAGGATTGGGGGCCGGAGGGATAGGCGGGGCGGGGCGGCGGCCGGGGCCCAACCCACGGTCCCAGGGGTAAGTGAATGAGGGGGGTGGGGCTGGCCACTTCGGCCCCACCCCCTGGTCCAGACCCTACACAAGCCTGGCAGGCTAGGGCGGGGCGGTCAGAAAGAGCGGCGGGAGCTTCAGGGACTTAACTGCGAGTTGAGCCCAGCCCAGCCGCTCGTCCCTCTTGTCCAGCCTGTCCAGCCCTAGCCATGGCCCGACGCGGACTGCTCTGGTTGCCACTGGTGCTCTACGTCGCCTCAGTTAGGGCCAACAGCAAGGTAAGTCCTAGGGAGCCCAGGGGAAGTGACTCCTTTGCTCACACCGGCTCCCTTCATCCTTGTGTCTTTAGAACCCTAGGATGTCAAGACTTGAAAGGATCTTGGAACGTAGAATGTCAGGGTTGGAAGGAACCTTAGAACACAGAATGTCAGAGTTAAGTGAGACCCTGGGACTTAGAATGTTAGAACATAGAATGTCAGAGCTTGAAAAGACCTTAGAAGGCAACACTGTATTGCTCCAGTTTTAAAGATGAGGAAACTAAGGTTCAGAAAGGGAAAATGACTTGCCTTAGTACTGTGCTAAAGCCCTATGGCCCTGGAACGACTCTTTTCTACTGGTACTCTGCTAAGAGATCTCTTGCCAGTTATCCCCAGGGGGGGAACTAACCCTGTGGCTTCTTAGTGTTGAATTGGGGTGGTGCTGTGACCGGGAGAAGGAATGCTATGGTCCTGGCAGAGGGAGAGTATTCTTGGGAGGGAGTACTCTTGGCTGGGGCCTGGGAAAGGGGGTAGAACCCTGGAAAGGGGACATTTTGACCAGTGCTTTTTCTGCTTAGTATCACCCTGCCCAGCACACCTCAATCAATTTAAACTCTTACTAAGTTAATGTAAATAATACAACATTAGGATGCGTTCAGGGTCTGAGACCAGAGCTGTTTTTCCTTCCAATCTATAAAATAAGGAACTTGGATCAGATGACCTCCAAGATCCTTTCTAACTCAAATATTCTTTGTCCTAAGTTCTTACATTCTATGTTAGAACATTTTGCATTTTAAGAACTTTTCCAGCTCTCTTACATTCTGATTCTGCAAGACCCTTCTTAAGCTACTAGATCTCCAATAGAAGGGGGTGGAGGGAGAAAGATCCATCTATTGACCCTGGTAATTCAGTGAAAGGGAATGAGGCAGGAAAGGGCAAAAACATTGTCTGAGCATAGAAAGAAAAAGGAGGCAGGACTGTCTTCCGCAATTGCAGCTAGTTCACCTAAAGCCTCTGGTGGGGTTTTCACCAGGAAAGTGTAACTTATAAAAAGTGGTACAAATGCCTGCCTGCAGTGAATGATAACCTGCAGTGAAGTATCTCTTTTTCATTGACCATGGAGCCATTCCTGGGGGAGGAGGGAAAAAGACTTCCAGATGGGACTGGAGTCCCCTGTGCTTTTTCTTACATATCTTTCCTCTGACTCCTAGATGCCAGGTGAGTTAGCTCAGGTCCCCCGAAAATATCAATTTCACTTAATTTCCAGAAGAGTTGAAAAGGAACCTAGAATATAATAATAGTTAACATTCATATAGTACTTTAAAAATTCTTACAAATATTACTGCATTTTATCCTCACAGCTACCCTGGGAGGGAAATGCTATTATTATTTCTATTTTACAGGTGAGGAAACTGAGGCAGATAGTAATCAAGACACTTGTCCAAGTTCACATAACTAGTAAGCATCTGAGGCAGGATTTGCACTTAGATGTTCCTAACTCCAGATCCAGTGCTCTGTCCTCTATACTACCCAGCTGCCCCTAATGTTAGGACATAGACCGAAAACCATGAGTGCTAGAATGTTAAGTATCAAAGAATCTCAGGATGGGAAGGGACCTCAGGGGTCATCTAGTCCAGCTTTTATCTGACTAAGAATCTCCTTTAAAACACCTTCAACAAGTAGTTGTCCACCCTTCCATTGATGTCTTCTAGTCAGACAGCCCCTTTTATTGTCCTAAAGATCAAGTTGTTGAATGTCAGTTTAAATCTGTCTCTTCCAAATTCCTGCCCTTTCCTGTTCTGGCTACCTAGGCTAAGCAGAAGAGAAACGGAGGTCTTTGAGCTAGGTTGAACTTGGAGGGTTGGTTGGATTTGGAGGAGGAAAACATGGTTTCTATATATGAGGGTAAAAAAAAAAAACCCTTCCCAGATCTACCATTAACTTGCTAGGTGACTCTGGACAAATCATTTCACTTCTCTCTACCTCAGTTTTCCCAACTGTAAAATAATAAGAATGGACTAGAATGTTCAGTGTCCTAACATTCTATAGTCTAAGGTCTCTTTTAAATCTTTCTGAGTCTGTGCCTTGCCCTTGGTTAGTGGCCATATCCAGGTCTCCTGAATCAGCTATTTCTACTAATTCACTTTGTCATAGATACAGGAAGCAAATATCATCTTGTTATTTTTTTCTCCTTCATCCTCTAAGGTCTCTCTAAACAGAGCAGGAGGTTGTGTGGGCTTGTGGCAGAAGAATTTAAATTGAAAGCAGAAAAGATGAAAATCCAAATATGCTGTGTTAGCTAAATATCACTTTCTTTTTAAAAAAAAAATTAAGAAATCACAAACAAAACAGCTTGGTCCCAGGTGGACGATTTTTGTGGCTGAAGCTGCTGTGGTGAGTGAGTGTTTGGGGAGCCAGGCATCTCTACCATCTAAAGACAGGAATCTTCACTCCATAGGAAGAGGCACTCTGGTTACCATGATCCAAATCTGTCCTTGCTGGGAAAAATACAAGTTGAGTTTCCAATTTGTCTTTCTTTTTTTGCTGAAAGCCCTAGGGGATAGGACGGGGGGGGGGGGGGGGGGGGGGGGGGGGGGGGGGGGGGGGGGGGGGGGGGGGGGGGGGGGGGACCTGCAGCCTCCAGGCCACATGTGGGTTAAAGAAACCTAGGTACAGATCTCGGCTCTGCTATTTATTTGTTGTGAAATAACCATTAACAAGTCACTTTCACCTCTTTCACCTGTTTCTTTGTCTGCAAAATAACAGGGTCGGACTAAGAAATCTCTAAGGTTCCTTCAACTCAACTCTAAATCCAAAGGTGTGTTCAACTAGATGGGAGCAGCTAGGTGGTGCAGTGGATAGAGTGCTGGTCTTAGAGTCAGGAAAACCCATCTTTTGAGTTCAAATGTGGCCTCCGACAATTACTAGCTGTATGACCCTGAGCAAGTCCCTTAACCCTGTTTGCCTCATTTTCCTCACCTGTAAAAATGAGCTGGAGAAGGAAATGTCACACCTCTCTAGTATCTTTGCCAAGAAAACCCCAAATGGAGTCAGAGTCCCTTTTGGTGTTGTTCTGTGTTCTATAACATTTTGTGTTGTGAGGTCATTTCCAGCTTTAACATTTTACATTCTAACATTCTCTGCTCTAAAAGCATATCATGAAAGGCACATTGAATTTAGCATCAGACAGTCCCGGGTTCAAATCCTTGTTCTGCCACTTACTACCTATGTGATATTGGGAAAGTCACTTGACCTCTCTAGTTTTCTCATCTCTAAATTGAGGGGGTTGGTCTGAATGGCCTCTGAGGCCTCTTCCAGCTCTTACTCTGTGATCCCATGATTTCTCATAGCCTTCATCTCCTATGAATCTAGTCTCCTCTGCAGATTAGACTCCTAGCAGGTGCTAGCAGGTGTAGGTTTCTGCGTGGGTTAGGGGTTGGGGTAGGGCAGGGAGCTGTGGCTGATCCGTGTCCTCTGTTAGACCAATGAACTGGGGTTAGGGGTGGAGGAAGCCTCCTTTTAGCTGGTGATAACTGGGTGTGAGAGGCCTGAGGAAGGAGGCCCCTACTGAAATAACCAACAGCACACTGGGGGTGGGAGAGAAGGAAGCAGCTGGTAACAAGGCAGGGGAGCTCTCAGCCCCAGGCATGCCAGGCTTCATTCAATTCCAGGCTGACCCTGGGGTCCCTGGGGAGCAGGTGGGGCTGGGGAGGAAGCTGGCAGGAGGTGGCCCTGGCTCAGACCCTTCCCCCATCATCGGGTAGGGCTGATTCTGCTCACATGTTTCAGGCCCTGATGGCCTCCTGGGCTTAGGTGGCTCTTCTTTGACTTGTGGAGTTTCCGCCCGGGGGTGTAATTGGAAACAGGACGAGCTGGAGCAGGAAAAGCTCTTTGCAGCTGTCACCCCTCACCCCCCTCAACCACTTCCCCCCACACTTCTGACCATGAGTGCCAGGGCCAGAGTTAGGGCAGGCTCAGAGCATGTGGGATCTTCTTGTGGGATCTCTTACCTCTACCCCAGGGAGGTGGTGCCCCTTTTCACCCCGAATAGTGACCCTCTCCTCCAAGACCCCCTTTATGAGGCCACCTTTGCTTCAGGAATACCTATCACTCTGCCTGTTAATTCCTCTGAGGTTCCTCTTCCACCTACCCCTAGGGACCCTTCTACCTCTCCTTCCCACACCAATAGGGGCCTTCTTTGCTCTGGGAGCCTCTCTTTGGGGTTTCTCCCAGGGCTCCACTGAGGAGTTTCTTAGTCTAGGGATTCCTTTCTTTCTAACAACTCCCACCATTAGGTCTTTGCCCCCTACTGGAAACCTTGCCTCTGAAAACACTTCTGGGATTCCTCCATACACCAAAGGAATAGTCCCATTTTTCAGTTTCTCTCTCTCTGATAATCTTTCTGGGTCTCTCTACCTCTGGAAGGCTTCTCCCCACTGTTGGCTTCTGTTCTTCTTAGGTTCACCTCTCATTTAGTCTTTTTCCCCACTTCTCCCTCACACTGTGAAGTAGTTAGTAGGAGCATTGGGTTTAGAGTCAGAAGCCTGGGTTTAAATGTTGATTGTGCCATTTATACTACCTTTGTGATCATGGTCAAGTCCTCCTCCCCTCTAGACCACAGTTTCCTGATCCTTAAAATGAGGGGCTGGATTAGATGATCTCTAAATTCCCTCTCAACTCGAAATCCTTTGATCCTGAGAACCTAGTCATACTTCTAGCAAGGTCTTCCTAACCCTGTACTCCTCAAAGCCCCTGAAGCCCTGCACATGCCCCAGCCTAAAGAGGAATGGGGACTAGATGTGGTTTATTGGCCACAAATGTGTACTATGTGACCCTCATGTGAGATTGAAGATTTCAGAATGTGGGAAATGATGGGGGTGGAGGTGAGGGTAGAGACAGAGGAGGAATAGGATAAAGAGAGGGAGAGAAAAGAAAGAAGGGGAGGAGAGAGACTGGAAAGATGGAGATGCCAGGGAGACAGGAAGAGAGGGAAACCTGAAAAAGAAGCAAGCCAGGAAAGA